CTAGTGTGTCTTTTTGGACTTTTCTTGTCCGTTAGTTAGTTGTTTTGGCCTTTTTGTGTCCTCTAGTGTGTCTTTATGACCTTTATGTGTCCCCTAGTGCATCTTCATGGACTTTTCCTGTTCCCAGTTCCCATCCACCACCAGGTGGAGCATTGGGCAGCTGTGGAAAGCACCCGGGGAGCTACTGGGGATAAGGTTGTCCAGCTCAGAGACACCACAGATGTGCAATGACCAGGGATCGAACCCGGGACCTTCGGGTTCAGAGTCGGCTGCCCTGCCCCTACACCGTCTTTTTGGTCTTTACATGTCCCTTAATTAGTCTTTTTCTGTCCTCTGGTAGATTTTTTGGCCTTTACATGTCCTCTGGTTTGTCTTTTTGTCCTTTACGTGTCCTGTAGTGCATCTTTTTGGACATTTCCTGTATTCTTAGGCGTCTTTTTGTCCTTTACGTGTCCTCTGGTTTGTCTTTTTGTCCTTTACGTGTCCTGTAGTGCATCTTTTTGGACATTTCCTGTATTCTTAGGCGTCTTTTTGTCCTTTACGTGTCCTCTAGTTCATCATTTGGCATTTTCATGTCCTGTAGTGCATCTTCTTGGACCTTTTGTGTCCCTTAGTTTGTCTTTTTGGTTTTTACATGTCTCATATGCTTTTTAAAATTCTGTTTTTTCTGTCCTCTGTGTGTCTCTGGTGTTTGTTGTGGATTAAACGTAGACAAAACCGTAAACAAGAAGCACATAAACAACAACAAACCTGCTCGTAAATAGATATGTAGCATCTAAATATTTCCAACAATATTTTGATGCGTCTTTAAAGTATCGTTAAATAAGTATTTCATAAATATTTAGAAAACAGTCATTTTTATTTTGAAAAACCGTCAGCGTGTTTTATTTTGAAAGGGATGACCGTCTCGTGGGGGAGGAGCCGGTTAGACGGAGGTGTGTGTCTGAGTCTCACATGTGGAGGAAACCGAGGAGCTCCGCTTGATCCAGGAGGACACGAGGAGGCTCGCGCTGCTCCCAATGATCCGAAGAGGAGCCGGAAGTGACTTTCTGTAAGAAGACTTTTATTTTGAAGTGATAAAGCAGCGGGAGGAGAGGATGGAGGAGCCCGGGAGGAGGTGGAGGGCGGCCGGCTGTGGATGGCTCCGACAGTCGCTGCTGCTGTGTCTGTTCTCAGGTGAGCCCCCCCCCCCCCCCCCCCCCCCCCCCCCCACCCCCCCCCCCCAACACACACACCAACCCACACACACACCCACCCACACGCCCCTAATATATGCACAGCTA